ACTGAGTAATGGCTCAAACTAGAGGTTTTTTACCATACTCAACTGTCTTTTTCTTTCCTCTACCCAGGAGCCTTCACTGTTAGCCCTACTCCTCCCCCCCCCCCCCCACACACACACACCCGCCGGCCATGGAACAAGAATTCCAGAATTGAGTTAATTTAAGATACCATTAGAATGTGTGGAAATTCGTATCCCACTATCATAGCGCTCGGTTGTCCGGGGGCTAAGTCGCAGGCTATGCTCTCGGGGAACCTAATTAGACAGAGCAAATAACTAATGAACCAATTACAACTTACAGGAAGCTGTGCCTTGAAGAGGAATTTGAAGAAGGGTCAAGTCTTACTACGATAGAGAGATGGAGAGCAATAAACAAAATGTGAGTAACAGAGATTAATGTCCCATTGGCATCAGACTGTTGGTAAGCTCAGCGCTTGCCATCTCTCTGAACTTTTCTTGTCTTGATAATAATGGAAGGCATATAAGTGATGACAGAGGAGCCCATTACCGCTTTAGCCTATAGGAGAGACCGTTACTACGACAGCCTCAGATTTTTTCTCCTGAACATTTTAATGGCATCCTTAGGAAAGTAGTTGTCTCCTTTAGCATGCTTTTCAAGCTAAGACAGTGATTTCCTTTGTATCATTAGCATATATTATTTGTAAAAATATGATTCATTATGTTTTCATATGTAGATGTACTGTTATTAGGTCCCTCCATGATATTCACACCCCCTTTATCCTTTGCTCCCTCTCTCCCTCCAATAGGCTGGCTCCCTTTTATTTCCATACATTTTTTAATATGGGATACTTCACAGATTTATATGTTGTCCTTGCATAGGGATAAGCTCAGTCAGATTAGTACATAAACTACAGAAGTGACCATAGTGGTCCTTTCTTTCTGCCATGTCTTTATTGACTGTTGTAGTCAGATTTTTCTTTGGGGCACCAGCTCACAAATAATGACATGGAAGACTTGTTAATTGTGAAACCTTGACATTAGCTTAGGCTTGTTTTTAACTAGCTCATAACTTAAATTAACCCATTTCTATTAATCTAAGTTCTGTCATGGACAGCCCATCCTGCTTCCTGTGTCTCCTCATGTGTTGTGTGTCTCTTTCTGTCTCTGTCTCTCCCCCCCGCCCCCCAGATTCCTCCTCCTCCTCCTTCCACTCTCTCCCTGGAAGTCCCGCCTATACCTCCTGCCTAGCTATTGGCTTTTTATTACACCAATCACAGCAATACACCTCCACAGAGTGTACAACTATCCACAACAGAATATATTACTTTTCTCAGGAAGATGTGAACTCATATCTATTCATCCAGAAAAGTTACCGATGACAGACCAAAGAATTGACTCCACCTCAGATCGAGCTTAATGACCAGGGTGTTTATTGATGTAACTTAACAGGAGTATGGATAAGGAATGACTTAATCTGCCCACAGATGACTCAAAGGAGGCAGCTACGTCATCCAAAGCACACTGGCATGGGTGAGGATTCATGGAAGATGAGTCATTGGAGTTCCCTGTACAGCTTACCCCTTACCCCACCACCCCTTACCCCACCCCCCAGCAAGTGCTTAAATGACCTCAGGGAGGCCCTCCTGACTTTTAGGTTTCATGAGCTTCCTTAGCCTCCTGTTGGCAAGCTTTCAACCCCCTCTCTCCTCCTGGAAGAAACAGCTGTAGGACACATACCCAGGTGAATTTACCCTATAACCAGTGTTCCCCGATGAGCAGACAGTGCCCGTTTACAGGATTTGAGAGGCGAAAACAGTATACATCTATTCACAGAGACTGAGAAGCCAAGGGCTGGAGGAAGAATCAGTGCCCGGAATTTGTGGCACAAACAGTACATCAATTTCCCTGGCAAGAGAAACTGGCTTTGTTCGTGCCAGTGAGGTTCAGAAGAGCTGGCAGGACACGCAGTGATGACTAAGTCAGGGTTCCACGGCAAGCTGGGGGTGGTGCCAGAGGGAGAGTGCTTTGTGAACTGGTCAGGCACTGGAGAGTGCTTTGTGAACTGGTCAGGCAGGGCCGCGCAGATGAGTGGGTGTCCTGTAACCATTAGTCTCTTCTACCAGGGCAGATGGGGCGGGGGCAGGTGGGGGCATGAGGTGCCAGGATGTTGGCTTTCAGTATGAGATTCCCCCTTTTTTTTGAGATCCCCTTTTTAATGTGTTTTCATCACTAACCAAAAGCATGGCTGCTCTGCACTCTGCCCACCCCAGTTCCCCATCAAGCTCTCCCTATAGCAGACTGTGGCTGTGGCTCACCCTCGCTGTGTGCATTGGATAATTAAGCTTTCCTATTTAAGACAAGGGATTACTCTGTTTTCCATTTCAAAAATTGTAGGCTACAATGGGTACAAAGTAAGTCCAAGGCTAGCCTACGCTACCCAGTCTCAAAAAGAAAAAGAAACTAAGCAAGCTACCCTATTTCTCCTATTTTGGCTTCCTGATTGTGCCGGTCTTATCATAAAGGTAACATACATCATTGGTATATTTGTTTGTTCGTTTGAATCAGGATCTTATTTTGTAACTCAGGATGACCTCAAACTCACTATCCTCTTGCCTCGCTCCACAATACTGAGATTACTACTGTGCGCCGCCATGCCCTCTTCTTCTTGTTCTATTTTCAAAGAAATATATATGCATTAAACTTATAGTAATACAGAAGTTAAGGAAAAGTGTCCTCTGAAATTTGGTGGGAATAAAGGTTAAGTAAAGGTCAAAGTGTTTGTGGTGTTACTAGCCATTAAAAACAGTGATTTTACTCTGTTTATTCACAACTATTTGTGGACAGGGGTGCACGTGGGCCCCTGTGAACACATGGAGGTCAGAGGGCAATTTTCGGAGGCCATCAGGTTAGTAGCAGGCACTTTTACCAGGTGAGCCATCGCACTTGCCCTGGTTTTGCTTTTGGCAAGGCCGTTTTGACCAAGCTAAAAGTGTGTCCAATATCATACTAGCATCAAGGGCCAAAACTCAGAACTCAAGATGAACCAAGAGTAATGGGTTAAATACACAGTGAGGAAAAGAAGCTGGAATCTACCGTTGGATTTTTAGTCAGAAAGAAATACCAATTTAGAAAAATTAAAAATAAAAAAAGTTCAGGGGCCGGAGAGATGGCTCAGTGGTTAAGAGCACTGGCAGCTCTTCCAGAGGACCTGGGTTCAATTCCCAGCACCCACGTGGCGGCTCACCACTGTCTGTAGCTCTAGTTCCAGGGGATATGGCTCCTCACACATGCAGGCAAAATACCAATGCACATATAATAAAAATAAATTATTTAAAAAAATAAACAAATAAATAATTTTTTTTTTAAAAAGTTCGAACATGCCGGGCGGTGGTGGCGCACGCCTTTAATCCCACCACTCGGGAGGCAGAGCCAGGCGGATCTCTGTGAGTTCGAGGCCAGCCTGGACTACCAAGTGAGTTCCAGGAAAGGCGCAAAGCTACACAGAGAAACCCTGTCTCGGAAAAAAAAAAAAAAAAAAAAAAAAAAGTTCGAACATCCTTGCTTCTCAGTCCTCTATAATTTCTTATACTGATGCGTTGGTGAATAACGTGGAAATAGTCGTTCAGAAGCATCATTTACATAAATCATGATAGAAATCAGGCCTGCTGTTTGTCCCTTTTAAATTGTTTATTATATTTTGTTTATTCAAGGGTCTGTGGAGGAGCATGTCCATGGCACACTAGCGGAGGTCTGAGGACACCTTGTGGAAATCTGTCCTCTCCTCCCGCCACTGGGTCCCTGGGATGGAGCTTGGGTTGTCATACACCGCCGTGGCAAGCAAGTGCTTGAACCTCATGAGCCGCCCGGTGGGCCCTGTTCTTCCTCTACTGATTTGTTTTGTTTTGAGATAGCTCTCATGCCTCTCAGGCTGGCCTCAAACTCTGTACATAGCTGAGAACGACTTTGAACTTCTGGTATTCCTGCCTCTACGACTCTCCCCAGTGCTGGGATTCCAGGTGAGGACACCATGTCTCTTTCTGTGGTGATAGGATTGAACCCCAGGCAGTGTTCTGGTCGGGCAAGCACGCTACATCTGAGCCACATCCCCAGCCCCGTTCTGTTCTTTTATTCAGGCTGCTTTCCTCTATTAAAACCATGGAGGGTTGTTTTTTATTTGTTTTGTTTTTTTTTTTTTTAATTTTTTCTTGTTTCCTGGACTCATTTCTTTCAATTGTTTTCTTTTTTCTTTTTCTTCTTTCCTCTTCCTTTTTTTCTTTCTTTTTCCTTTTTTTCTTTTCATTCGTTTATGTGACAGGCACTACTGATGCCTGGAACTGTCTTCACAGAATTTAAATTCTAGTTCAGGACATGAGAAAGTCTAAGATGGAAAATAAGTCAAGAGAACAATATAGGAAATGGAGAGAAGGAAGGAGTGAAGGGAATTTGCTCATTCTGATACTATGGTCTGGTTGGGGAAAGCCTTTTTAGGAAGAATTTGAGCCGAAACAATGTCCAGGAGTCAGCTATGAGGCAATCTGAAGGTATGCATACAAAAGGAACAGTGTAAAGATCCTGGGGTATAAATGCTTCTCAGACTGTAGCCGGAGTCAACACAGTCTAATGTGTAGATCCTGGGAGTGTATGTATTATGCTCTGTGGGGCATGTAGTCTTGGTTACCACTGTTGAGCAGCTCTGAATGCTAAGGCCTCAAGAGCAGTCAGATGTATTGTGTAAGGAATGATCATGACTACCATACACTGAAGCCTTATCTATCAGAACAGGTGAAACTGAACAGCAAACGCAGAAGTCAACGGGGCCAGCCAGGGCTATGTAGTGAGACTTTGTCTCAAAAAAAAAAGTAAAATAAAGCCGGGCGGTGGTGGCGCACGCCTTTAATCCCAGCACTCGGGAGGCAGAGGCAGGCGGATCTCTGTGAGTTCGAGGCCAGCCTGGGCTACCAAGTGAGTCCCAGGAAAGGCGCAAAGCTACTCAGAGAAACCCTGTCTCGAAAAACCAAAAAAAAAAAAAAAAAAAGTAAAATACAGGTTGTGCCCCAAGATGGCTCAGTGGGTAAGGACATGTGCCACTGATGCTCAGAACCCACATGGTGGTAGGAGAGGACCAATTCCAGAAAGTTGTCCTCTGACCTCCACATGTGTGCTGAGGCTCTCGAGCACAGAACACACACACACACACACACACACACACACACACACACACACACACACACAATGTTTAAAAAAGAAAGATTGGGGGCTGGAGAGATGGCTCAGAGGATAAGAGCACTGACTGCACTTCCAGAGGTCCTGAGTTCAATTCCCAGCAACCACATGGTAGCTCACAACCATCTGTAATGAGATCTGGCGCCCTCTTCTGTATACATAATAAATAAATAAATTTAAAAAAAAAAAAAAAGAAAGAAAGGTTGTTGCACCACTCAAATATACTAAAAAACCACTGCACTGTGCACTTTGTGTGATGTGTGAGCTGCATCTCAAAGGAGCTGTGACGGTGTGTGTACATGTGTGTGTGTGTATATATATATATGTCATGTACATGCAAGTACCCTCAGAAAGGGTCATTGGATGCCCTGGAGCTGGAGTTACATTTGAGACCCTGTGTCACAACTAGAAGCATAAGGAGGGCTAGGGATGTAGCTTAGTGGTGGAATGCTTGCCTGGCACACGCAAGGCCCTAGAGCAGTGGTCCTCAACCTTCCTCACGCTGCAACCCTTTAATGCAGTTTCTCGTGCTGTGGCGACCCCGTATATATAAAGTTGCTACTTTATAACTGTAATTTCGCTAGGTGAAACGTTTTGTTTGTTATGAATTGTAAATATCTGATATGCGGGGTATCTGATACGTAACCCTCGGGGTCAAGCGACCCACACACAGGTTGAAAAGCACTGCCCTAGACTAAACAAACACCGCGAACAGGTGACTGTGGTGCATCAAGAGGAGCCGTGGGAAATGGATCCCGTAGACCTGCGGCCCACCGAGATGTTAGCTACGTTTCTGATCTAAATATGATAGACAGTCCAAGGAGGAGTGTTGTCGAGGGGAAAATTGAGGCGGGATTTATGTCTCTAAGAGATCACTCTGGCTGTTGTTTGCAGAACAGACTATGTGAAGGCAAACGAGGAAAGAGATGAGTCACCCTAGGACCCACAGGGTAGAGAGAAGATGACTTGAGCCGGCGTGGCTGGACTAGGGGAAGGGAAGCTTCCGTAGGAAGGATGTGCTCATGGACTGGACAAGGGGGCAGAGGTTATCCAGATGTTGGACTGACTCCTCTGTTGGGGTGGCCATTCCCAGGGGGGAACCTGGAGAAAGGACCAGAGAGAATAGAATAAGGCAAGATCCCAGAGCTCTCCGGTCTGACTCCTGATAGACTTCTGGGTGAAGAAATAGATCTGCAGCCCAGAGGTGAGGCCCAAATGAGAGATCCCCCAGCACCAGGTAACAGAGGGTGGTGCACACACCAGCTATTCAGGACTGGGAAGGTGGAAGCAGAGAGATCAAGGTCATCCTCAGCTACATAGCAAGTTTGAGGCCAGCTTGGGCTACTTCAGACCCTATCTTAAAACCAAACAAAATACAGCTAAGCAGCGAGACTTATGGGTGGCTGAGAAAGAAGAACAGAGAGGTGACCGTTACTGGACTTGTTAAGGTGGGGCTTGCTGGTGATCTTGGCAGAGGTGTGACAACAGAGGACGACCGAAGGAATGGAGTCATTTTGCTTCAACGCCTCAATGGCGGAGCACTTGTCCAGTGTTTGGGGAGCTCAGGGTCCATCCTTGGCACTGCAAAATAATTAGACAAATAAAGAAGAACAGATCCAGGGTCTGTCTAGAGGGACGGGAGCAAGAGAAGAATTCCTGCTTTGATCCTCGCGAAGGAACTGTGCACAGTAGAGATTCTTTAATGCATCTTAGGACTCAGCACCGCACTTGATCTTACAGGCTGTAAGGCCACCAGCTTTTCACTGCCACACAAAATATTTCTGAATTCTATGGCCCTCAGACAAGTCATTCTTAAAAGGTCTTAGAATATGGATTCATAAGCCCAATGATAGTGGTGCATGCCTTTAGCTCAGCACTCGGGATGCAGAAGCAGGCAGATCTCTGAGGCCAGCCTGATCTACAAAGTGAGTTCCAGGACAGGCTCCAAAGCTACACAGAGAACCCCTGTCTCAAAAATCAAAAAGATAAATATATACAGATAGATAGATAGATAGATAGATAGATAGATAGATAGATAGATAGATAGATAGATAGATTCATTAGAAAAAGAAGCTTTGATTCCAGAAAGGAGTTATTTTCCAGACAGAATTTTTGGGTAGATAAGAGGAAGAGGGGCCCAGCTATCTAGGGAAGGTGTGACTCCGTTGGAACAGGTGACAGTTTATCTGTTTGACAGGAAGCTGAGAGTGTATGTCGAATTAGAACCAAAAGATGTTATAGTGAAGATGGAGGGTTTCTCTTATTTTGCTTCTGTTTTCTCAGTGAACTAATAAGTTGGGTTATCAGCTGAGATCAAAAAGGAAGAAGAGATCTTGGAGATTTAGCAGAGAGAAAAGAGTGAAAGGGCTGGGCCTGCTCCAGGATGATGAGTGTGACCTTGCTTAGCATGGGTGAAGCTGTGGGCTCAGTCCCCGGGAAAGGAAAGCATTAAAGAATTCTGACGGGGAAAAAACCCTGTGGGCTCAGTCCCCGGGAAAGGAAAGAATTAAAGAATTCTGACGGGGAAAAAACCCGTGTAAGGATAAGACAATCCCAGGCAGGGAAAATGCTGTTTTTTTTTTTTTTTTTTTTCTTTTTTTTTTTGGTTTTTCGAGACAGGGTTTCTCTGTGTAGCTTTGCGCCTTTCCTGGAACTCACTTGGTAGTCCAGGCTGGCCTCGAACTCACAGAGATCCGCCTGGCTCTGCCTCCCGAGTGCTGGGATTAAAGGCGTGCGCCACCACCGCCCGGCGAAAATGCTGTTTTTGAAGGAGCTGTCCTGGTCTGCCCACGACCATCCGCCTCCAGGGCCTGTTGCTAGGATACCAGCCAGTAGCATCCTAGGTATCACGAGACCTATTTAACAGCCGGCCACCAGGTGGCGGTGTAGATCTCTGCAGCTCCCAGTACTGACTGCTTTCATGACCCAGAATTCACCTAAGTGAGGGGAGACCAGAGCCTTGTGAACTGTTTTTAACTAGGCCTAGAAGACAAAGCCCTAGGGAGAAGAGAATCCACTTGAGAATGTTTAGGGAATGGCTAGGGAGGGAGTGAAAGGAAAGGCCTGGGGATGGAGGGGGATGGGTGGGGGGAGGTTTGGGCTTTAGAATTAGAAAGGTCTATCAGGTTCTGACACTTGTGAGTCCGAGTTGGAGGTTTAAAGACAAGGACAAACTTTACCTGTGAAGCCAGAGGTGGTGGGTCACTGAGAATTAGGGTTGGCCTACCTGGCTTTGACACAGCCCTGATGAGAGGCGTGAAGGAGAAGGCCCTCAGAGCACGGCGCCCCTGAGTTCAGGTGCTGACCACAGATCCACTAGGGAAAACATACTGTAATGGTTCCTCGGTTTGGATGGCCCACAGATGACTCAATGGGCGGTTCAACCCTTCCGAGATGTTCAACAGATGATGTCCATCAGAGCTGAGCCAGGGCTTGAAGCTGAAATCATACCACACATGCTGGATTAGTCACCCTTTAGTCGTGACAAAATATCGAGAAAACAACTGAAGTGAGGAAGGATTTATTCTCTCACGGCTCCGGATTGCGGTCCATTGGATTGGTTCCATTGTTTTGGGGCCAAGCTGTGATGAGGCATGCTGTTGTGCCGGAAGCATGGGATGGAGGACGGTGGCTGAGAGAGAAGACAGGTCCAGGGAATTATTTATCCTTCAAAGGAATGCCTGCAACTAGGCCCTCCTCTGCTCTCCACCCTCCACGATTCATGTCACTACCAAACTGTGAATCCATCTGTCCACTGAGAAGGTCAGATCCCACCCCCACCCCGATTCTTCCCAAAGGCCTGTTAGCTCTCAGCCAAACCTTCTAACACATGAGCCTTTAGGTTACACTTCCTATCCAAACCGCAACAGATGCTAAGATAAACTGTTTTATTTCATTATCTGTGTTTAAAGGAAGGTAAAGTAGCCTCGGTGCCTAAAGGGAAGACCCAAATGGAAAGCAGAGACTTGCAAGCTGCAGTATAGGATGGAGAGCAGACACAGCATCACTGAAAGAAAAAGTAGGAACAGGGGATCTTTGAGACGGCGAAACTTCTGCCTGCCTTTTTCTTGGTTTTCTAGAACCCCCTCATGCATTTTTAAGTTGGCATGTTTTCTTCTTATTCATTTTCTATGTGGGGGTGTTTTGACCACATGCATGCTTGTGTGCCAAGTGCATGCTCGTTGCTCACAAGGCCAGAAGAGGGTGCAGTGCCTTCGTACAAAGTAGGAAGAGGTGCTTTTCTGGGGAACAGGGTTTCTAGGGGGACCTGTGTGCAAAGAAGCTTCTGGCTGGGGCTGAAGAAACTACATAAGACTCCAGCCTGCACTAACTCCCCAACTAAACTGTCATACATAAAGGCCATTGTAGGCTTTCACGACGATGGGGAGGGGGGGTAAAAATCTTGGGAGAAGAGATGGTACATTCCAGCTTACAGAGCTACGAACACAATGGTTCCTGGGCAAGCCCATGAGTTAATAGACTTCTGTCTGGGAAAAGCCTGACTTCCTTTTCATTTCAAATATTACTGTTAATAGATGTTTCTGTGCTAACCATCTTACTTCCGTGTGTTCATTTGTTTGTTTATGTTACATATGTGGCGGTCAGACAACAACTTTAGGAAGTCTGTTCTCTCTCTCCTCCTAACGTTATGTGGGTTCTGGGAAGCCAGGACGCCATGCTTCCACAGCAGGTACCTTTACCCGCTGACCATCTCTCCAGTCCCCAGCCATCTTGCTTTTTTTTTTTTGGTTTTTCTGAGACAGGGTTTCTCTGTGTTGTTTTGGTGCCTGTCCTGGATCTCACTCTGTAGCCCAGGCTGGTCTCGAACTTCTTGAGTCTGAAACAGACAGATAATGCTGTGGAACATCCACTTGAAGCTTGTTTACCAGGTGATGCTCCTAAAGCTTTCACACACCTGGGAGACATTTGGAAGGCATATGGCAGGGTTCTCGGGCCTCCCATGAGGAGAGTTGACTCACCACATCTGGGGTAAAAAGTGAGAATTTGCACGTCTCACAGGATCATTGGAGACAGTGGTGTTACAGGGACGTCAGTGAGTAGCAGAGAATAAAAACAAGGGGCCGCCACTTCGCCAGTGTCCGTCAGTGCTGTGTTGACTGTCATAATGCCCTGCTACGGTGGGTTAGAGACAAACCTGTTCTCTCCCAGAGTGAGACAAAGTGGAAAGGAAACAGAGGAGATGGGAGCAAGCCAGGCACACTCTCAGGAAAACCAATTTTAAGAAAGAAAGTAACAGCTTGGTGGTGGTGACGCACACCTTTGATCCCAGCACTCAGGAAGCTGAAGCAGGCAGATCTCTGTGAGTTCGAGGCCAGCCTGGTCTACAGAGTGAGTTCCAGGACAGCCAGGACTACACAGAGAGACCCTGTCTCAAAAAACAACAACAAAAAGTAGCATTTATGGGCTAGCAGGGCATTGATGACTGTTTAGGGGGTCACCACAGCTTGACCAAGGAGCTGCCAGGATATTTCATGGCTGTTTTGAACTCATTTCTCTGCTTTGTACTGGGGATTAAACTTAGCTTTGTCCATGCCAGCCAAGCCTGCTACCACAGAAACTTAGGCTAGCTTCTCTTGCCTCTTTTGAGGTAGGGGATTCCTAAGCCTCCCAGACTAACCTTGAACTCGTGATGTAGCCTAGGTTAGCCTTAAACTTGAGATTCTCTCGCCTCAATGTTGCTTTCTTGGCTCAGCTTTCTTTCTAAACTCCCAGTGTTGCTGAGCCAGCCACTGAGGAAGCAAAGGGAGCAGTCATCGAGAAAGCAATAACTGAAGTTGACATAAACATCTGCAAAAGAATGTAGAGATGGATTGCCCAGCGTCTGGGCTGAGCGTCAAAGCGGTCCCTCCCCTTCCAAGAGAGGCTGTCATCTTCCTAGTCAAAAGGTGCTCCACGGATTGCCCGAGCTAGCTTTGAAGAGAAATGTCGTGTGGGAAATCTGCCCATGACTTCAGACTTCTGTACTTTGTGAGATTCAGAGCAATAACAACTTCATACTTTACACTCTGCAAAACACTTTAGCGTATAGTAATATTCCCCCATTAATGTGATACCTTCCATCATTTTATAGACACAATCCTTAATGGCAACTTGGCCATGGTCATGCAGTTTGGAATAGACCTTGCACTTTATACAGCGAACTCTTTCTGGCATTTGAAGCTGTTGCATGGGAAGCCAATTTCTGCAGTGTGCTAGAGGAACCATTGTGTAGCTAAACCACAATGACTTATTACTCTTTGAATATTACTAGCGCGTTTCCTTTCCTGGTTATGTCTCATCTGGTCTTATTGCTCCCCCACTCTTCTTGTCTACGCCCTCTCCCGGACACCCTCCTTTGAGTACACAGACATTCCAAATCTCTTTTAAGGTGTTATCTGTGGCTCCAACCTGGCTGAGCTAAAGGTCAGCAAGAGTAGAAAAGTGATACGGAACAGTCCAGCAAGCAGATCTGCTGAGATGTTTTCCACAGGTTTGTCCCCCCAGGAGGGCCAGCAGCCCCTCAGCCAGCGTGTTGCCAGGAGCAGACAGCACATTTTAGAAGCCTAGCAATCCCTCTAAGCCTTAAGAACGTGCTATCCCTGTCTCCTGCTGTCTCTCTGTATCTTGCTCTTTAATTCCACGGTGAATAGTGCCACGAGACTCTTGTAGATAGTGGTTGATGGATAACTGTCTAGTGAATAAATACCCCAATGGCAGGTTCTCTCTCTCTTCTCTGTCATGGCTACTCCTGCATTTTTGGTTTTCCATCTATAATGAGGAAAGGGAATCATGTGATCTTCTCAAGAAAACTTACTTGAAAGCAGATTTGCAATTAGATATACTTTTTGTTGTTGTTATTGTTTTGGTTTTTTGGTTTTTTAAAAAAACATATGGAACGCGTCACGAATTTGCCTGTCTTCCTTGCACAGGGGCCATGCTAATCTTCTCTGTATCTTCCAATTTCAGTTTATGTGCTGCTGAAGCGAGCATGTTGTTTTGGTTTTTTTGAGACCAGGTTTCTCTATGTAGCCCTGGATGTCCTGAAACTCACTCTGTAGACCAGGTTGGCCTTGAATTCATAGAAATCAGCCTGCCTCTGCCTCCCGGGTGCTAGGATCAAAGGCGTGTGCCACCACCGCCCAGCTGATGTATTTTTATTCTACATTTTATTTTATTTCTAGAGACTGAATCTCACTATGTAGTCCTAGCTGGCCTGGAAATCACTATGTAGACGAGGCTACCCTCCCAACTCCCAGAGATTCACCTGCCTATGCCTCAGGAGTGCTTAGGGCATGCATTGCCGTGGCTGTCACTAAGATAGACTTTTTAAGTACTTTTGAGAGCTGATATTCTGAATTTCCTGTCAAATATTTAAGTCGGTCATCATCATCTTTTCATAAGCGTCTCCTTGCTGGTTTCTCCCAAGCATCCAGTGATTTTTCTTCTCTTTTTATCATTTTGAGACAGGGTCTTGATGCCCTCACTCTAGTCCCTGCTGGACACATCTGCTGCCTCAGCCTCCTGCGTAGTTGGGTTAAAGGCCTGTGCCACCATGTCTTACTAATGATCTTTCTAAAATTCAAATCTGGACACACTCTTGCCGGGTTAACCTGCTAGATATCTTAGTGATCAGACAAAGTCCAAATGCTCCTCCTGCCATACCTGGCTCGGCCGGCCATTTGTAATAAATCTCCCCTTCTTATCTCTCAGCCTTTTATGGTGGATCAAAAAGCACAGTGTCCTGTCAGTCCAGCAAGCTCCTGCCCTCGCCGCCCTGCAGCCCAGAAAGCTGTTTTCTCCCTCCCACCCCGCTCCGTCGTCGTAGTCGGGAGTAACTGCTACTGAGCCTGCAGGGCTTTGGATACATACCTACTTGGCAAACTGCTCTTGAAACACTACCGCTCACGGCCCTCCTGATTGACAATGCCTTTCCTGCACATCCGCCATGCTGAACTCCAAGGACTCAGTCCTGTTCAGCTCCAGGGGTACCATTCACAAGCTCTGTTGTGATCACACTCAGACAGGCTGCAGCCCTATTCAGTGTCTTCAAATTAGTTTATATGTCGTATAAATCTCCTGTGTAAACAACAAACACCAAGTAAAAATAATAGGGAGCTGGCAAGATGGCTCCGCAGGAAAGGACACTTGCTGCTAAGTGGCACAACAACCTGAGTTGGAGCTCTAGGACCCACATGGTAGAAGAAGAGAACCAGCTCTCACACGCTGTCCTCTGACCTCTGCACGGAGGTTGTGGCATGTACACCCCCTCCCATAAGCCAGCAAAGGAAGGAAATTATATAGTTTGTCTTAATTTCCCTCCTTACTCAAGTCTATCTAATCTGGTATCACAAACTACCCCTGCACTGTCTTAAGCGTGTGACTGGTTTTTGTTTGTGAAATGTGTTTTTTCCTGGTTCTCTCCTTCCACCATATGAGTC